ATCTGGCAGTGTTTTTGTGTGTTTTGTAGCTTGTTTGTCTGTCAATATGTGTGTCTAGCAGTATGTATATCCCATCTCCATGTGTGTGCAGGTAAGTCTGGCAGTTTGTATCTCCCCAGAATGTATATCTGTGTGTAAGTCCGTGAGTGTGTATCTCTGTTTTGTGGGAGTGTGTGTGTAAATGTATGTCTGCAGGTGTGGGTAGAGGGGAGAACACAGCCATTGACCAAGGGCCTCATGTGTTGTGATTACAGTCCTGAGTGTGGCTTGCTGTAAGCAAATGTTGGAAAAGGGAACCACAGCACCAGACAATTCTTTGTATTAGAAAAAAAAACAAATATACCTAGAAATACATAAAGGGCAATATTGTACATATAATCAATCCCCCAAATCACGGTAGCACTTTATCCATGCACATGCTGCATTTGTTTTGTTTTGTTCCTGGTACCTGTCCTGCTGTTATCTGGACGGGGGACCAAGGAGATTTACTGATGAGGATTTCTTGCATTTTTATCCTGTGAGTGTAACCATTAAAGTGTCATTTTAATTTTTTTTTTATTCATATTGCACTATGGTTCTTTCACTTTCTCTCCACATGATTGGCTTAAATTGCTGAACACCAAATCAATTCCTGGTGGAACCGACAGTCTTGCGATGAGCCTGAATCCTCAGTGCAATTTTTGATTTGGGGGATTGATTTTATGTACAATACTGCCCCATGAGTCCTTTCTCCTTTATGTATTTCTAGGTATATTTTGTTTTTTCCAAATTGTGTGTAAGGATTGGGCGTAATTCTTTGATTATACCATATGGGGGAAAAAAGGGGTAAATTCTTTTTTTACTCATTGTATTTTTCTGCACCTGGGTGGTCTATACATTTAAGTGTTTATAATTCTTTGTCTTAGCCTTCCTGACTTTGTCCATTCAGGACAATTTCTCAGAAAATGTTAAGAAATGTTTATCTAGAAAACAGGATTATATTTCCAAAATGTGTTAAAATTGCATGGTATTTTTATTTATTTACTATATCTTACCATATTTATACATATTTTTATGTTATTAAATCTTGTTATATTGACTCCTACTGGTTCCCAGATTTATTAAACACATCTGACAAGCTGTCAGCTCGCATATGGTGCTTCATCAGAGATTTACATTAAGACAGACATCCCAGAAGGAGTGCAAATATTTGGCATGGGTACCGTCAAGCCATCATGTATAAATTGACTAATGGGACTTCTCTTTTAGTAATGTAAAGGATTAATTAATGAAAGATCAGCCACAACATGACGATTAATGTCCTGGGACCTTATGTTGGCATGCATAGTAGACACTGAAATATTTGTTTGTTTGTTTTTGGCCAAGTAGGATAGACAGGATTCTAAGAATTAATTTAAATAAATTTAAAAGAATGTTGATCGTGTAAGAATTATGGGGTCCTGAGCTTATTATAATGAGTTGAGTTGGTTTTAAACTATAAAGCCAATGTAAAAATCCAAAAAAGGATCATGGAAATACTCAACTGATTGGATCTCGTTTCATATGATCGATGTTCCATGGTCCAATATGACATTTCAGCTTCTGAATATGTGCTTTCTTAATTTATCGGACTTCTTTCAACACTATCTTAAGCATTGGCAAGATAGTTATCTAAATACATTTGGTACATGCCCATGATATGTACTCAACACTGGTACCATTCTGTTGACTAAAATGCACATTTGTCATTGTATAACTATGTTAAATCTATATGTATTCATGAACTAACATGTTGATTTTATAACCAAACGCATTTCAATGTTTTATCTGAGTGAAATGACTATGATTTAACTTTGTTTAACTGGTAAACATTATAAGGTTTTATGTTAATCCCCATCCCTTTAAAGTAGTTCCCTTGGCACCCAGACATTGCACATCATTTATGTACAAAGGACTTAAAGTTTTCATTGAACTGGTAGGAAAGCAAACACTAGTTCTTGTTGGGTTAGTTAACATTAAAAACACATACAACTGAAGAACAGGTTTGTTTTGTCTTTAAGTTTACACTGTAGAATTCTGAACAAAATTAAATTAAGCATAACACTTGAGAGGTTTGGTACAATCCCAAATGTGGCGGTATTATTGTATTAATTTATGTTCTTTACATTTCTTAAGTAGCAGTATATCAAGAGAGTCTTCAAAAAAAAAAAATTAGTGAATGTACAA